TAGTAGAATAGTATTCAGTCATGAAAAAGGAGGATATCTTGCCATTTATGAGAATATGGATGAAACTTGAGTATATAGTCTAAGCAATGTAAGTCAGACAGCAAATAAGTACTGTATGATATCACTCATATGTAGAATCTAAAACCGTCAAACCTATAAACAGAAAAAAAAAAGAGTAAAACAGTGGTTACCAGGGGATGGGGTTTAAAGGATAAGACTGATGGTGTTCAAGGGTACAAACTTGTAACAAGCACCAAATAAGCCATAGAGACCTAATACATAGTATATTGAATATAGACATTAATATTGTACTAGATGCTTGTAACATGATAAACATTATTACAATGACAACTATATTGCAATAAATATATATGTATCAAAGTAACACGCTATACACCTCACATTCACACAATGTTATATATCAAACTTATCCTATTTAAATAAGTAAATAAATAAAATATTTGGGAAGTTTCCAGGTATCTTTCCATTAATGATTTCTAGTTTAATTCCATTTTGGTCACAGAACATCCTTGGTATGATTTCTATTCTGATAAATTTGTCAAGATTTGTTTCATGTCCTAGAACATAGCCTATATTCTATATATTTGTTGATTTTCCTGTCTGTTTGTTCTGTCCGTTACTGAAAAAAGTGCTGAAGTGTCTAACCCTGGATTTTTCTATTTCTCCTTTAAAGTCATCATATTTGCGTCATGTAATTTGAAGTTGTATTATTCAGTGCATACACATTAAGGATTATTACATGTTACATGACTCATTTAGTATTATGTAATGTCCCTCTTTATCACTAATAATTTCCCTTGTTTTGAAGGTTATTTTCCCTGTTATTAAAACCAAGCAGGATCCTGTGGGGTCCTCACGGGTACAAAATCTTTTCCATTTCTAGTTTTTGGGGAAAAGATTTCAGCCTCCTAGACCTTCCCTGAGTTCCATCAAATAATTACTGATTAGGGGAGTAAGGAAATGCAGAAAGAAATAATAGTGCAGCATGGGTCAGGATCCTGGCTCCCCCTTGGGGAATGTGCATAACAATCTGATACATATGTCTGAATTCCTCTACAGGAACTAGGGTGCCCACCCAGGTGGAGGATGGTAACTACAAGCTGAGCACAAGTACAGGGACCCAGACTGCTTGGAAACAGAAGGCTAAAGACTCAGATTCTTGGAACACCACCCTGTTACCTCACCACTAACCAATCAGAGAAAGGTTACACATCCTGAAGCCTTCCCCACAAATTTTGCCTATAAAAAGCCTTTCCCAAAAGCTATCAAGGAGTTTGGGCTTTTTGAGCACAAGTTGCCTATTCATATTGCTTAGTCCTGCAATAAATCTTTCTCTGCTCCAAACTCCGTTTTGGTTTGTTTGGCCTCATTGTACACAGGGAACAGAAACTTGGGCTCAGCAACAATATCAATATAGCCACTCCAGATTTAATTTGGTTAGTGTTTGTGTGTTTTTGCATTATTTTACCTTCAGTCTGTACGCAGTCATCTGCATAAATTGAATAAAAATCTGTCCTTCTCTTCACTGGGATATAATTGGACAAATTGATTGTGTAACCAAGGTCATTTCTGAAGAATCATATTTGAGAATATATTTCATTCAATCTGATACGACAAGTGCCCAGTCCCCACTAAGGACACAGAGGTAACTGGTATTTGGAAACAATGCTTACAAGCCTTCCTAGGCAAACTGTCTGGTGTCCATTGTTGTACACTGTCCCAGCATTACAGGTAGTAAGGAAGGTCACTGACTAGCAGGAAAAGGAGAGAGGAATTTGCCCACATTTCTAAGTATGCGGATGAAACCTGGTGCAAGTAAATTTATTTTGTAAATACTAGTGATAAAAACAGCTCTGGAATGATAGGGACTATTAAAAAGGTGAAATGCTAGATTCCCTACATACTCTTCAGTCAGAATCTAATTTAATGACTTTAGCAGTTGCTTAACATAATCTAGCTCTAGATTTCTGGATATACAACAAGGAACCTTACGTGTGTTAACCATTCTGACTGTGCCAATGTAAATTATGAAGCCAGGTAACACAAAATCACAATGAGATCGGCCTTTAATTAATCTACAAAAGTTATTTACAATCATAATTGGAGATTTAATTTATTCAAAACTTAGAAATAAGGCAAAAGTTGATTGCTGAACCTTGTAATATCATGGTTAGTACATTGTTTAACACGCACAGCTAAGGGTCATTTGACTCTTAGGGGAACGTACCTTTCACTAAATAACTATTTACTATTGATCAAGGCCAGACTGTGCAAAGTTAGCTGTTGCCTTTTAGAAAACTAATAAAAATGGAAATGATTCTTGTCAAGTAGAGATGTATATGATTTTTGGTAGAACAGATAACTCCAAAAGGATGTCCTTATTGCCACAGAATATATTAATCAAGTTAAAATACTAGGTTTGTAGCCAACTTAGCAACGTAACTTCAGCATTTCTTGCTGCACTGACTACATGCATGTTGGTTTCTCACTTCTCTTTTGAGTGGGTTTTGTCATTGTGATTGTTTCCACATTAACATGTTAAAGAAAACTTGTACTTGGCTCACAATCTGTATGCGTGAGAATTACATTTTTATAATTTTGAGATTTATACTTTCTCAAAAGCATATTAAAATGTTCCACAAAAATGTCAATTTTGCTGGAAAAACAGGAACTCAGCTGAACTTTCAGGGACAATTCTCAGAACTTCTGTACCTGTTTTTATTTCACTATTGATCAGATTAACTACTCAGTTTTTACAAGCAATCTCAAGAATAATAAATTCACTAACAAATAATAATCAACTCACCATCACCACCAATCCCTAAACATACCCAATCAATAAAGAGTAACCGAGAATAACTTTCAGAAATAAAACCAATTTCTTTGCTATGAAAAATTAAACAAACATCCAAATTTTTAAAATCATGTGCCAACACCACTTCAACCACCTCTGACCACACAGTATGCAAGTAAAGAAAGCTCCACAGTCAAACCTAAAAATACAACCCCCTAGATAACCATATTTTAACCCAAGGTTTCAGGATACTCCTCAGTAGCCAGAATACAGAATAATAGTATAACTAAACACTGCAAGCATGCAATCTAAATATGCTAAAATAAAACAATTAATCCTAAAAAACCCCAAATTTATTACAATAAAGTATCCAACCCTACCACTTAAAATAAGTAAGACTTGTTACAAGTCATACATTATACATCAGATATAACAACCTTTTCATCTAGAACACCTATTTGCCAAAACATTACCTATGGCTAATTAATTCAATATATATATTCTAATAAGGCATCTCTAGTTTGGATGTGTCTATTTATTCATGTATAATGAGTCTTATATACAGAGCTTACATCCACACAGAAACCTGGAATATCAGGTTGATCCTGTTATTTTCACATATGGAAACAGTGTTTATATGTTATGTACTCCTATGAGAATAAATATTCTGAGTTACAGTAATTACAAATTCTCTTTCAACTAGCCCTTATACTAACACTAGTTACTAGAATGAATCTGAAGTGGGTAAGTCTATCCCTATAGATCCTTTACTTTTCACTATTTTCACATAACAAAAGATCAAATAAGTCCTCAGGATTAATATCAAATATAAATAAAACTCCACTCCACCCTTAGTACATAATCAAAAATACCTTAAGATTTATTTTCCTTATTACCCAATTACCTGATAAGAGAGCTACTACCATAGCTGACTCTCACACCGTGCTCTCTCCACTGCCACAAGTGCTAGCAGTGTAGATGCTTGCTGTTTGTACTGATCTGATGTTTATTTTCAAAATCAAAAATTCTAATAAGTTTATCTAGGTCACATGGATTCCCTCTAGACATATGATAACCTGGAAAATGTTAAGTTGTTTTGGTTTTTTTAACCATCTTGAGAAGGCAGACTTCATTTTCATCGAATGCAATCTGACCTTTTATTTTATCCACTTTAAAATACTCAGGATAACTCTAAACTTTCTAACTTGTTATTTAAGCATTGCTATAATCTCCTCATAACATGTTTTCCCAGATTCTTGTCCCAATCTATCTCCCAACTCTCCCCTACCCCTCCTTTTGTCTCTCTCTCCTTCCCTCCATCCTTCCTTTCTTCTCTTTCTTTCCTTCACACACACAGACACCCAAATCCCCTCTTGCTCGAGTGTACTGTAATTTCTGAAACAAACCACCATCATTGCTCATGGTTCCCCTTAGTAATGATCTTCCCTCAGTTCAAATGATACCTTTGCATGAGGTATTCTCCAACTCCTTCAAGTAGAATCATTCACTCTTGCCTCAAAATTACACTGTACATAGCAAATACTTTCTATTTTACCACAGCTTTATTAGCCTATCCATCTTTTTCCACAATCCCCTATCCCCATTCCTCAGACTGAGTTAGAAATTGTTCCTGTGTGCTCCTGAGCAACCTGAAATTAACTTTAGCATTTATCACAATGTATTGCAATTGCCTCTTTCTTATACTAGTCTGTGAACTCCATAAGGGCTGGATGTGTATATATTCACCATTGTATACTATATGTCTAGTGCCCAATAGGTACTCAATAAATATTTGTTGAATCGTAAGACAGAATCAATAATAAATGTTTCCTAGCCTGCCCCATTGATTGTGAGCTATTCAAAATGCCCAGGAAAATGCTACTTACATGGTAGGTACACTGTAAAAACTTTATGAAATACTTGGATAAAAAGGAATTAACAAGAGTTAAGTTTACAAGTTTGTCTTCAGAACTTCCAGTGAATGTAAAAAGCAGCAATTAGACTGACTGCATTATTGGAACAGCCCTCCTACCAATGCTATCTATAGCCCTGCTACCAAACTGGGATGAAAGTGTGTGTACACTTGCCTATCTTCATTTAAAGCCTTTATCTCCAGGAGCAGCACATGACCTCTTACAGAAGAAGGAGTCAGGGCAGGTTTCTTGAGCTAGGGAATGTGTCTTACCCGTGAATGTGAAAACCATTTGCCCGCATTCAGAGTCGACAGAAAATCCCAATCAAATAGGCTAGGGTGTCGGAGGGAGGCATTTGGCAGGACCTCCTTGATATTGGTTGTTCTTCTCAGGTTAAGGTCATGCATGAGAAAAGGCACATGATCGTAACTGCAGGCAGAGGGGGAAAAGAAGGGAAGAGGTAGATAGGCTGAATTCAGCCACTTTGGCAAATACAGTTCTCAGAAAGCCCATCAAGGTCACCAGTCTTAATAGGGTTCCTTACTCCCTCCCAAATCTCATCAAAGGAATAAGTACTAGTAATTTATACTTTGATGTCAATATTTTTCTGCCCAAGGAGGCAATCTTTTGTAGTGTTATTATAATCGTATCAGTCATGGTAAAAGAGTAGCTTCCCTATTCAGGGAATTTTTGGATCAAAAAAACAATGGGTAGAGTAGTGATCTGAGAGCAAGGTGAGTGGGGTGGGGATGGGGCAAGGCCCTGAGGACCCCGGAAACACACTAAGCAGGCACCCATACAATCTTTCTTTGTTTTGCTGACTCATTTACCAGCTGGCACCTGCTCTGAGTATTTCTGGTCCTAGACTCTTCACATCAGATGGCACCATTAGAAAAGTTCATTATCTGAAAATTCCTGTTGTCTCTTTGCCTTGAAGAATCTCTGCTTTTATAAAAAATCTCTCTTCCTTTCTCATTAAAATACATATGAAAAGAACTCTGTAATGGCCATGAAGGAGTAATAAGGGTTGAGACTTAGCCTCCTGCCCATAAATAACTAGACAATTGGACAAAATAACAGAATTAAATTTTTTAGGAAACAGACAGCCAGAGCACAATATAATGATCTCTGAGAAAAGGTAAAAAAATTAAATAAGCTCTACCATTACCCAGGCTTCCTTCTTGCTGGTAAATACTGGAATGTGGCATGGGGCAAGGAGGGGGACATCTAAAAGGAACCCAGCTACTGTGCTGAAAAGAGAAGGAAGAGATAAAATTAAGGAGACGTCAAGACAGACAAAATTTGTTGGCTAGAGCCTCACAGAGAATGGAGCTATGCAAAAAGAAAGCATTCCCGGGAAATATGCACAGAGGTCCCTTGAACTATGGCCAAATAACAATTTGTACATGTAGAAAGTAAAACTCTATGAAGTCTGCCAAGAATAACTTCCAAAAAAAGGAAAAACCAGAAAGTTCTAAGAAATTTGCAAAGATCACACAGAGGTGTGACTCTTTCAAGTTCTATCAATGACAGAGAAGAGACATCAATAATTACACAAGCATTCTTTAGAGACTCCAGAGGACCACACCTTTGAAATGGGGATAATTAGGATTAGAATTACTTTAGAGTTTCCATAAAATAATTTAAAATCAAGCCTCCACAAGATTACTTACAGGTGGAGTAGATAAGGATCGCTTCCCAGAGCAGGTGGACTCTGACAGTCAGTTTGGATGGAAGTAGCAAGTGGGGGAATGATGGATGAAACTTTTCAGGGAGAGGCACCAGTGTGAGCAAACTCACAGGGGCAGGAAAGCCCAGGGACTACCCCTGAGACAATGAGTGGGACTTGGGCAGCAGTACTATATGGTATTAGGCAAATCCAGGACTAGGGTGAGGTGAGTGAGGCACTCACCTCGGGTGCAAAAGTTAAGTTGCCATCAAAAACTTTAGTAAACAAGATAAATAATAATATTACATTATTAAAAAATAAAAATCAATGCAATGTATGATGAATGAAACATCAAAATCTTAAATGAAAAAAAATCAAGCCTCCAAAGGATCAAATTAATCTGAAAGAAACTTAACTGCCTTAATTAACTATAATTAATTAACTATAAAACTTAATTAACTATAAAAAGTCCAAAATTATTCTTCTTTAATTTTAGAGATCTGATCACTTTTAATCTCCAGACTGCCAAAGTGAATATTTCATACTCATCTCTGCTGAGAAAGAAAACTTGTATTTTTTAGTTTTCAAGTGGCTCAAGCCCCTTCACCATTTTTTACCCTCCTCCCAGTTTTATTAAGACTTTCCATCTTTTTTTTTTAATAGACTTTATTTTTTACAAAACTTTTAGGTTCACAGCAAAGTTGAGCTGAAAATACAGAGAGTTCCCCTATCCCTCTGCCTATCCCCCAACACACCCAGAGCCTCCCCTATTATCAATACCCCACCAGAGTGGTACATTTGTTACAACTGGTTACCCACAGTGACACATCATAATCACCTAAAGCCCACAGTTTACATTAGGGGTACACTTTTGGTATTAAACATTCTGAGTCCTGACAAATGTATAGCGACATGTATATGCCACTATAGAGTCATAAAGAGTAATTTCACTGCCCTAAGAATCCACTGTATTCCACCTATTTATCCCTTTCTCCTTGCTAATCCTTGGCAATCACTTGTCTTTTTACTGTTTCCATAGTTTTGCCATTCCCAGAACATCATCTAGTTAGAATCATACAGTATGTAGCCTTTGCAGATTGTCAAGCCCCTTCACCTTAAAATCTATAAAAAATCAAATTCTCTAAAGGAATACAAGAAAATATACCACACAGCAAGATAAAATCGCAATGTCTAGAACGTAACCAAAATTTACCAGAGATGTAAAGAAGTAGGGAAATGTAACTATAACTAGGAGAAATTACTCAATAAAGACAAACTTGGAAATGATAAAGATGACAGAATTAGTAAACTGATATTAAATCATATATAACAAAAATATAAATAATGTATATAATAGAGTCAAAGGAACACATGAACATAATGAAGATATAACTCTAAGATATGAAAAAGAAAATGGAAATTCTAGAGCTGAAAAAATATAACGGAAATGAAAATTACACTGTATGTATTTAACAGCAGATTAGATATTACAGGTCATGTAAATATTAGTGAATTTGAAGATGTAGCAATAGAACCTATCCAAATGAACTATGAGGCACATCAAGTGATACATATATGATTGAAATACTAAAAAAAGAAAACAGAAAAAAAGAGGAAGTAAGAGTAAAAAATCCACAATTTTATAAAAATTACGTATCAGCAGATCTAAGAATGTTAACGAATACACAAAAATAAATATGAGTATACATACACATGCATATACCCCACAGTAAGGATTACTATAACCAAATTGGTGAAAAATTGACAAGGAAAAGAAAATGTAAACATAGCCACAGGAAAAGAAAATACATATTTAGAGAGAAATATATATAAGCAAAAAGCAGAATTCTCACCAGAAAATACGAGACATAGAAAAAAATGAAACAACATATTTTAAATGGTGAAGGAAAACAAGTGTCAACTTAAAATTCATGAAAAATGAAAGGAAGAAGAGATGATGCTGGGAAAAAGGCAGAGTAGGAAGCACCAGGAATCTATCTCCACACCTAGACAACAATTGCACTGGCAGACTCTGCCTGACGTAACTCTTCTGGAAATGTAGAGTATATTAAAGGCTTCCAAATTCCAGAGGAAGGCTTAGATACATACTGGGGTTAATTTCACTCAATCTGAGCTCACAGCACAGTAGCAGCTACTCATGACCCACCCCCAGCCGCATGGCAAATAACTGTGTACAGGTTCCTGGAGTAACGTGCACCACAGCTGGTGAGAGTCAGGATGGCAAAAAAGATCCCCTGTATCCCAAATATAGGGGATCTCTGCTCTGGCCTCTGATTGCTACTTCTTGTCACAAAAGGGCAGAGAGCTGGGCAACTATTGTTGTTGAAACATCTTCCACTATTGCAAAGCCCTCACCCTCCAAATAAAGTGACTGCCACAAGATTTAAAGGGCCAGCACCTTTTTTACCCTCTTCATTTTTTTCCTTTTCCTCTTTTGGAAGCCAGACATTAAAGACTAGAATATTAAAAACAACTGCATATACGAGGAAAAATGAGAAAGTGGCTATATATGCCTAAGGATAAGATCAGAAAAACCTAACAAAACCTTAAGTTTACACCTCAGCCTGACCCATGGCACAGAGACATCCTACAAATTTCAATTAAAAAAACAGTAACAAAAAACAGCAAACCCCGGAGAAGGGGGAGAGTCTGATTTCCAGTGTTACCACATTATTAGACTCAAACGTAAAGTTTTCAACCAAAAAAAAAAAAAAAAAAAAAACAAAACCACAAGGCATACAGAAGAATCAAGAAAGTATGGTACATTCAAAGAAAAAAAAATCAACAGAAACTGTCCATGAAAAAGAGCTGATGTCAGATATACTAGATAAAAGACTTCAAAACAATCATCTTAAAGAAACTCAAAGAAGAAAGATGTGGATAAAGTCAATAAAACAATATATGAACAAAATGGAAATATTAATAAAGAGATTTTTAAAACCCTAAAAATAAATCAAAAGGGAATTCTGGAGCTGAAAAGTATAATAAATGAAATGAAAAACTGACTAGAGGGATTCAAAGGCAGATTTAAACAGAGAGAAGAATCAGTGAATTGAAAGATAGGACAATAGAACTTAACTGAGTCTGAGAAACAATAAAAAAAGATGGTAGAAAAGTTAACAGAATCTAAGACCAAATCTTACACCAAAGCCAGACAAACACACTGCAAGAAAAGAAAACCACAGATCAATATCCCTTATGAACACTGATGCAAAAATCCTCAACAAATTATTAGCAAACAGAATTGAGCAGTGTATTAAAAGGATTATGCAACATGACCAAGTGGGATTTATCCCCAAAATGCAAGAATGTTTCAACAGAACAAAATCCATCAATGTAGAGGAGATCAAGATGGCAGAGTAGGACATGAGGCTTACCTCCCCTTACAAATATATCAAAAATCTATCTACATCTGGAACAATTCTCACAGAATACCCACAGAAAACTGGCAAAAGAGCTCATACAAAAAGCTGCAAGAAAGAGCCCTGCATAACTAGGTAGAACAAAGGGAAAACAGAAAAGAAGAGGAATCAGGATGGGTCCTGCAGCCTAGGAGGGAGCTGTGAAAGAGGCAATGTTCAACCACCCTGGGAACTTCCTTCACCAGCTGGGAGGTCCCTGGGATGGATAGGGAACTGCAGGCCTGGAATTTTCCCAAGAGGAGTATGCCCAGGCTGGCTTGCTGCCAAGCAGGAAAGAGAGGGACAAGCACTGATAGCTGCCATGTTGCCACATTTTC